ATTTGATTGGGTCAACTTTTCAAGCCCTGACGCAACCCCATGAGCCTACGTTGCATTCCAAGCCCTGAATATTGTGGGTTGAGTTTTGAGCAGGGCTTCCTAGGACCCAGCGGTTGGGCATCCTTATCCATATTCAAATTTCTACAATACTAAAAGAATCAACGGAAATTTGTGAAAAAGTACACTATATTATATTTCTTTGTGTAAAAATATCTCAATATAAAATATATGTATATAAATATCTTTATGTGTAAATATTTGATAAAGAGGTACACTTTTGTTAAATTGTAATTTTTTCTCTTATGAAATTGTCATTTTCCTTTATTAATGAGAAACAAATATAAAAGTTATATTAGGGATTCAGTTTCTTAATTTTATGTTATATATTGTTTGAATTTTAAATTATATTTTTCTCTTTCATTCAACTGAAGTTATTCAAACATTTATGTCTTCTCTAAATTTGTATAATTTTTTTTTGTTTTTTTTTATAAATCGTAATGTGGAATATATTTTTTCACCTTATATAATACCATTGGTTGTTATGAGTATTTTTTTCCATGGATATTTTAAATTTAAATTTATATGTGTGATATTCGATATGTTTATAAGTAGCAATTATATATGTCGTATTAACACAGTGATACATGTCACATTGGCATAGTAGTACAAGTCAATGTCACACTGATATCAGCTTATGTTATACTGTTACAAATCAATATCACACTGCATACATTGACATGACACATTGCACAATGCACATCATGAATAACTAAATCTAATGTAAATAAGATTACATAGTATCACAAACAAACAAAAGAGAGTGGTGAATTGTGTTTGTGGTGGAATTAGAGTTGTGAGGAGGTGATGATAACATGTAAGGTCTGTTGTGAGAATACAGTTGTATATGATTTCTTTGTTTTTTTTTTTTTTTGGTAAATGATCGAACACTTGGTGTGCATGTAGTACCAAGCACCAAAAACAGAAAGGTAGTTGAAGGAAAAAAAAGTATATAAAAAAAATGTTGAGAGAAACAACGTTTTTCTTGAGTTATTAACTTCTTTTCCAAAAACTTCAACAAGCTCAATTGTCGTTCTTCACCACAATGTAAACCTTCTTCTTCATCGATGAAGTTCAGTTTAGTCATCACCGTCTATTACAGAGATTTTCACTTATTCACAGTGAACCCATCAAAAAACACATAACTTATTCACAGTGATTTTCACTTCTTCTTTAATGATCAACATGACGTTTTGAAAAGAATGGAAGTTTTAGGGAAGTTTTTTTCATCAATCTTTGAAGAATGGAGGTTTTTCGATGATATTGAAGGAGTTTATGAGTAACAGTTGATATCCCTGATGTTTTGGATGTGTAGGCAAATATTTAAGAATCTATTCCCTTCTACAAAAAGAATAGTTTAGACATTTTGTTATGTATTATGTACTTTTTGACTGATATTTTTAAATATAGTACTTTTTGTCCTATATTTTCAAAAAAAATTATTGCCCCTGAAATCCCAAGAATCAACTTATGAGTGAGAGTCTTTGAAACTTTTTCTCTCCAAATTCTATTTGTCATAATTTTGAATTATTTAATTGACTTTCTCCAATTAAATTCCAATATTTGGCTTATGTAATCACTTCAAACTTTTTTAATAATTACTACTCATTTAAATTTATTATCATATTTATTAACTACTTTACATTTAAATTTTTATAAAAATATTAATTTAGCGCATTAGTAAGTAAAATTTTAATAATGTTAGGAAGAGATGGGGGTATGGGTGATTGTGGGCTGGAGTGGGGTAAGAATAGGGGTGGTGATGATAATAATGATGATAATGAAGAGATATTACAAATTTTGTGCATCACAAGGGGTGACCACTAATACTATATACTAAAAAATCAATTTAGGTGAGAGTTTTGAAAAAAATTTCATCCTCAATCCAATTTTCTCTTAATTTTGAATTATATAATTAGCCTCCTCCAATTGAAGTCTGACATATGGCCTATGGAACCACTCACAACTTTTTAATAACTATTTCATATTTGAATTTTCATTATCTTAATTAACTACTTTACATTTGTATTCTTTTCTAATATCTAAACATATTAGTAATTAATTTCTAATAATGTTAGGATGGAGTGGGAGTATAAGTGGAGGTGGGGTGCGAGTAGGGCTGACGGTGACAATGAAATGATATTACAAATTCTATAAATCATACGAAGCGACCACTAGTTATATATTAAAAGTATCAATTTTGGAGAGATAGTGTTTGGGAAACTTTCCCTCCCCAAATTCTATTTTCTCCTAAGATTGAATTATTTAGTTGGCTTCTCCAATTGAATTTTGTTGGACTAAAATAGTTTTTTAAGTGTAAAAACTAATTTTTTGGTCGACTTTCAGTCTAAATTAAAGTGGGACCTGTTCGTTGTTTCGAGTAAACTTTTGTGGGTTCATATTCTACTCCGTGAGGAGAATAATGTAATATATTCACTTGCTTAAATCAAGTAAAAAATGAATGAGAAAATAGGGTCCAAAATGACCCTCTTTAAATGTGGAAATAAAGGTTGTACAATGTAGGATTTGACATCAATCTCACATTGGTTAAGGAAGAAATTCTACATGGGCATATAGAACCCAAAGGATACCACAATTTTATGAGCAGAGCAAGCGCCAACATACCTTCTATAGAAAATTTCTTGCAGAATTTATAGTTGGCCAATTAAAAAATAGAGTTTCATTTTGCAAAGCAATGAAAAAAGCTATTGAATTAACTAAACAAGCAGATACAAAAGGAATTCAAGAACAAATTGTAGGGCACATCAACAGAAAAGAAATTGCACATGTCGAATGAATCAAAGAAAATCATTCGGGCTAAAATTGATTATTGTTCATATTCTATTACAGACGCGCGCATCGCCCGCCACACATGCCCCTACCGGTTGGGTGTGGCCATGATTTAAACTCAAGCCCTATCTATTTAGAGAAAATTCGTTTAATTAATAAGACGTGAATTTTTTAATCCGAAATTTAATTTTCGATATCCATTGGATTACACTGGTTCAGATTTTTTGCTTCCCTCAAATCTGAAATTTGAGTTGTGTTTGTTCATAGAGAACAGTTACACAATTGGTGTCTTCTAGCTGCATGTGATTGCTAGGTTGCATCAGTCACCATTCTCCCTATAAATAATTCAGTCACATAATCATTTTGCATCCAATTCATCTTATACATTCTTAGTCATTTAAGGTAGTCTCATACACCATTAAAGCAGTTTACATTTGGAGAGTACACAACACAATTCTGGTTCACTGGATGAGTAGATTGGAGTTATACTTCTACTTTTGTGAAGATCATTGTATCCTGCAAGACAGACGTTTTATATTTCACAAGCACCGTGTGTGGGGGCAAAATATGTTTTAAGGATATTGTATCAAACACTAGTTTTGATGTACATAAAGTTCAATAACAGTTTTCGTTCTACAAATCGAGTTAATATTGATATTAGTTTGACAAACAATTACGCGCAACTGTTTCGTTAAGATTATTGTAACTGTTTCGTTAGTCCTTCTGCAACTGTTTCAATTTTCTGTATAATTATTTCACACTTGATTGTTACTATTTTGTTATAAATTACATATTTTAAATTAAAAATTTTAATAAGTGATTTTATTATATTTGAAATACCACAAACAACAAATTTCAACACGTGGTTTTTGTAACCCTTTTCACCTCTATTAACTACTATACATTTAAGTTTTGAAAAATTATCAATTAAGTACATTAGTAAGTAATTTTTTAATCATGTGAGGATCGGTGGGGTTACGGGGCGGTGGTGTGGGAGTATGGATGACAGTGGCGATGAAGAAATATTACAAATTATGTGCATCACACGAAACAACTATTAGTTGTACTGTATATTAAAATAATCAATTTAGGAGAAACGGGAAGAGCTTGAAGAACTTTCTCTCTGCAAATCTTATTTTCTCATAATTTTGAATTATTTAAATTCATATGTAATTGAATTTCAACATGTGATTGATGTAACAATTACCAACTTTTTGGTAACCACTTCACATTTTGAAGTTCAGACCTTCTTTATTAATTACTTTGTATTTAATTTTGTTTATAAAATATCAATTTAGTATATTAATAAGTAAATTTTTAATAATGGTATAATAAGTTGAGAGTAGAAGTTGTCTAATTACAAAATAATTGGAGCATACTCCAATTCATAATAGCCTTCTCTCCAATTACAAAATAATTAAAACATCTTTCAATTCATTTTTCATGGGGGAGGATCTATCCACATTAGCAAATAAATTGAATGATCCTTCAATGATTTTGTAAATGGCAAGGGGCCTAACCCATAACAAAGGGATGTTAATAGCAAGGGGGTGTTGTGGAAAAAATATTGAATATTGTTGGTATATTATGTCAATAGTATCACGTGATGTAACAATCTACTACCACTTAAATACGTTAGTAAATGGACTTCACTAAAACTCATTACCTTCCACTTATTTTATCTTTTTTGCTCTTTTCTTATAGGATTATACCATGTCAATAATACTGATATATCAATAATAGACGGGCACATATTTTTAAGGGATTTTAGTGTAATTTGTTAAATATTACAGGTCTGAATGATTAAGTAATAAATTTCAGAGAGTCCAGACGTAATTTATCGTAACAAATTATAATCAGAGAGAATGACAGACAGAGGAGACAGGCGGCGAAGACGGAGAGGGTGGGTAGTGCTACTGAGCTCATATTATCTGAACCAATTTTTGGCACTTTTTGACTGCTGTGTAGTTCCATTAACGCGCTTCGAGATGAGCAATAACTCTCTCTGTATCCCTAACCGTCTCTGATCATTCTGTCATCTTCATCTTCTTTGGTAAAGCCCTGATAATCATTGTTCGAAGAATTTTTTTTTTTTCTTTTCTTTTCTTGATCATCCTTTCTTTTTGAGAAATTCAGCTAAAAGCAGAGTGATTATGGCGACTCAATCCTCCTCAGCTCCTCCGGCTCCGACGGACAACAAACCCCAAAACCCAGGTGTGACTTTCCGTATTAAATCTTTGGTGCTTTTTTGAAAATTTGACTTTCGACTAAACTATCTCTTTGGATTACGAGAAAGATTTGAAAAAACCTGCATCAATTAATCTAAGTAGTTTACATTAGAAATCGTTGGGCAGAGTTTCGCAAAGGATACAATATATGTAACCCCAATTTTACTTATTCTCGCTTTATATGCGATTTCTCAATGATTAAATGGAGCATTTTGCCTAATTTGCGTTCGTTTCAAGTGGCTTATACATGTCCAACTTGTTTACTATATGGGATTTTTCATTTGATGTAGTTTATGAGTTGGTGGTCTTGAAATTTTGCTACTTTTTAACAGAATCCATAAGTTTATTATTATTCTTTCACCCAAGTTTTGACAGTCATTGAAATAAGAGCACGGAGTTGCATTACCTTTAGCTTAAAAGCAACAATGCTAGACCTAAACTGTGTATAAATGAAAACCTCCAGGAATTGATTGGTTAAATTTTGGTAAAACTTTTAATTTTAGCAATGGGAATGAAATTATGAATTAAAAACCCATAGTCAGTCAAACTCGTGTAATTCCATCCAATTGAGGATTGTAATGAAATAACCACAAATATTTTGCCCTATATCTCAGCTTGGCCTCATAAGCAAAAGTTTTTTCGATGCACTTCCCATGGTTATACTAAAAGAGACACCTGGCAATATGAGAAAGAACAGAGAATTAAGATAATTACTGTTCAAGCTCGAGTGTTGATTATGGGTTCTGTTTTGACTGTTGCATTTGTATTTGCTTGGATTTACTCTCACACTGTTTTTCAGAACTTCAGATTCCTTTTGACCTTGTTTGAGTCTTTAGAGCAAACAATGATTGAAAATAACTATGCTTTTTAGGATGCTTAATTTTACAATTTAACGCGGGCATGACACAACATGAATCCAACAAAAAACGATCAATTAGAAAGAATAGTAAATGGGTTGAGTTATTATTGGACATGAATAATAGTGCTTAGTATTGTAAGAAGAAAATGTATGTTTTTTATAAAATTATTTTCTTGATTTAATATTGAATGAATGTGTGTCAAAATGCAATGTTTTTTTTATCAACACAAATATGACACGAACACAATATGAAACCCAAAATGATATAACTTGAAATGTCGCAACATGACCATGACACATCACGACTTAGTTGACATCCTAATAGATTGTCGCTACTAGTAGAAGTTTTCTCATTTTTAATTCATGTTGTTGTTGGTTTTTCTGCATATTATCTAGTTTGGACCAACTTCTATAAAATTACTGTAGCTCCTGTAGCCATATATAGTCACAAGTGAATTGAGGAAGATGGTCCATAGTATGAAATATATTCCTTTAAAGTTACCACTTCCTTTTTTTACAAAATTTATTCGATTCTTCACCATCTCTGAGAATTAATTTTTTTTTTCTTAACGTTAGCTTCNAGGAAGATGGTCCATAGTATGAAATATATTCCTTTAAAGTTACCACTTCCTTTTTTTGCAAAATTTATTCGATTCTTCACCATCTCTGAGAATTAATTTTTTTTTCTTAACGTTAGCTTCAGAGGTTGTACAAACAACACTTGAGGATCAGAAAAATATGGCAGAGGCTACTCAGGTAAATTCTTCCCCGTCTGTGTTTGTGAACTCAGAGCCGATGCGAGAGGATCAAGTGCAAAATGCTGTCAAGTTCCTTTCACACCCAAAAGTGAGGGGGTCTCCAGTCGTTTATAGGCGATCCTTTCTTGAGAGGAAGGGCCTCACCAAGGAGGAGATAGATGAAGCCTTTCGTCGTGTGCCTGTAAGCAAGTTATCCTTTTTTGGTCACATCTCTCTCTCTCTCTCTCTCTCTCTCTCTCCCCCCCCCCCCTTCCTTCCTCTCTTCTGTGTGTACGTTATTTGAACCCAGCATAGAATCATCATCCGAAACATTTTTTGTCCTCAATGTTATCAATNCCCCCCCCCCCCCCCCTCTCTTCCTCTCTTCTGTGTGTACGTTATTTGAACCCAGCATAGAATCATCATCCGAAACATTTTTTGTCCTCAATGTTATCAATAAGTGTAGGGTGTTCGGAAGTATTGAGGTTGACATTTTGTGTAAATGGCAGGATCCAGCCCCGACCATTTCAAATGTGCAACCAGCTGGTACAGATCAAGGTAATAAGCATTTGTGTCAAATTGGGATGTTCTAACTGTGGTTCTACTCCTCGACCCTCACACCAATCATGTTATACCTGCTTTGCAATGTTGATAACAGAGGGTCAGATGAAGTCTTCGTCGAATATTCAACCACAAGACCCAAGTCGAAGTCTGCAGCCTGCAGTAGTCGCTCCTCCTGGTGCCATTTCTAAAGTAGGAACCTTGTCCAGATTCCACTGGTCCCATGCTCTTCTTGCTGTAGGATTACTTGCTGTTTCCGGAGCAGGAACAGCTGTACTTTTTAAGGTATTTATGAAGAGGTTCTGTGCTATTATGTTATTTGATCCTATTATTCTGTTTGGACAATGATGTACCTTCAGCATGTTCTGCTTTTGTTGGTGTGTTTTTCATGTGTACAATTCCATACTCAAGTATCCTAATACCATAGAATTTAATCTGTTGTTTTCTTTTGCTTTTCACAAAATTGTCTAAACTCAATCAAACTATCAAATGGAACTTTCCCGTTTCAGAACACTATCATTCCCAGGTTGAAATCATGGATTCGCAAGGTTGCAATGGAAGAAGATGAGGATCCTGTGGAAAAACAAAACTCAAAACCAAGTGTGGCAGAAGAAGCTGCTGCTGCTGCGAAAGCTGCTGCAGCTGCAGCTGCTGATGTGGCACGAGCAAGCCACGAAATGTTGGTTTCAAAAACTGAAGGTAGGTTTATTGGATTTTTGCTTGTTTTATCACTAGGATTCTCGACATTAAGTAACAGAATGTTTTGGTTTTTTTTTCTAGGTTATTATTGTTTGAATTCTTTACTAAAATGAATGAATGATAACTTTCACACTTCCTCAAACATGGAACCTTCATAATTGATAAGATTTATTTCATCCTTGTCAGAGAAGAGATGCTTCAAGGAACTTATGGATCTTTTAGATGTGCAAGTACGGGAGATGAAGTCAATGAGTCACACCATACAGAAGTTGGAAGGTAAGAGAGAAGTTGCTCTCTGATCATATGTCAGCAAAATTGGTTTCCTTCAAAGTTATATCTGCTCATTGAATTACAGATTGTTGCCTACTCATGCACTGTTTCGTATAATGATGTCCATCATTAAAGGCACGCGTAGTACATCCACATCTTTTTGGTTAGGGAGGAGAATCAGTTTGTCATGGTCTGTCCTGTTTATGCATAACATCTATTGTACATGCTTAGCACACAATACTCTCACATAAAATTCTTTTCTATACATTGTGCTGTTCGATTTGTCCTGTTATCTGCATGAACTGCTGTAGTGAGGATCAAACTAGAAGACAAGCAATGGTAATGGTCTTGCACTGTAATAACTTGGCATATCAGCTACATCTCTCTAACTTAACTGGGAAAAGAATTTTTTCTGTAGATGATACTAATATGAAGAGGAGAAACAAGTTTCCAACAAAGTCGACTCAAGGAGGAGACCTCTCTCTTCCCATTCAAAGTATCGGCCGATACCGATACGAATCGGCCAAGTCATAACCGATTCGACACCTGCCGAGACGATTTTATTACACGATACGTATAAACACCGAGTCTTGCCCGACTCAGCCGAGTCATCCGATTTGTATTCGAGTCAATCCTGAGTCGCTGAGTTGTCGTCACCGAATCGACTGATATGATTCCATGACGCTGCGATATGACTTGCATCTTTCGTCATATTCAACATTTCTTGTAGGTCGTATCGCTCAATACCACAACGCGACGCCGCGACCAATGTGTTTCAGATCTCTATGAGTCGATGGCTGATACCGGGACCTTGAACCATATACTTGTCTGTCTATCCCCTTTTTCAACCCCTTTATAGTGTTCACTATGAGTTCAGTAATTATGCTGGACTAACATCACTTCATATCCGTTTTTATTCCTGCTACTTTTTCTTCATTTTCTTTCTTATGTTAATATCTTTTGGTAGCAAATTTCTTATGCTATAGTTCTCTTCAATAGCAAAATCTGGATATATTTGAGTAGTCTTTGTATCACGAAATTAACATCCGATTCCATGCTACGCCATAGTGCTTAGCATCACTTCATGCTTGAAGTAATTCCTTAATTCCTCCTCCCCTCTGCGTTTTTGGCTGCTTTGTTTGTGGCCATAATCATGGCAACTGTGTACTGGATGCCATGTTTGAGATGTGTACTTTGGACCATTAGAGGAGGTATGGTGAGTGTCTGAGCAATCTGTTAGTTACCATCTATGAAGCATGGATACTTTGATTGGGGTGACGTATCCTTATCTGATACGAATTGGATATCAGATTGGATACCGATACTCATTTGATACTCGCGGATATNAGTTACCATCTATGAAGCATGGATACTTTGATTGGGGTGACGTATCCTTATCTGATATGAATTGGATATCAGATTGGATACCGATACTCATTTGATACTCGCAGATACNGATTGGGGTGACGTATCCTTATCTGATACGAATTGGATATCAGATTGGATACCGATACTCATTTGATACTCGCGGATATGTGTTGCGTATCAAATAATTAATAAAATATTTGTCATTGTTGGTTGCTTGTCGGATACACCTTGGATACGCGTACCTTCAAGGTGGATACATTCTCCTTATAATTAGTGAGGTAGGTTGTATAAAAATCATGAATCAAACAAATGAGAATTCTTTGTTCCAAGATGTTCATTTGGACATGCATCACATATGTCACATGATTTGTCAATTCTTTATAATTTGATATGTCAAAGCCAATAAATCTATTACAATTAAATGTTAAGTAAAAGTTGAGGACTTTCGAAAGGTGAAACATGTTCAGCTTTAAAATTACATAGAACATTGTATTCGAAACATCATTAAGTAGTCCCTATGTCAACAACATAAATTGTTTTAGTTTTTAGGCATTTTGTCTCTTAATCCCTAATATTGTAATAACTTCCTATAATATAAATAGACGTAGCTTAGCCATATACCTATCTTATTTTTTAAGATTTTGTCATATCGTCATATCCGTTTAGTGTCATACCTGTATCCGTATCCGTACTTTCTAGGGTACCATCTTAGGTGTCTAGAGGCTCTAACTATGCCTTGGTAGTACCGCCATTGATATTCTGACATTACCAAAAGTAAATCCAATCCACCATTTGCTTCTTTTTGGCTTGAAATGAGCATAAAAAAAGGGACGCATTCTTGTCTATCCGCAATTAAAGTTCTTATATGAATGTATCTGCCAGAAATTTATTGACATCACTGGGCTTCCAATCTATTTATGTGAGTTTTTTGTGGGTGTTTTACATGAACTTGGCAAAGCTGTTTGTTTGTAAGAATTTTTTTGCTAATGTCATTTATTGTGTGATTATCAGGACAAAGTAATACACCTGGAAGAATATCTCTTGTTGAACAAGAAGATCATAAAGTCTCAGTCACCAGTTCAAGGGTGAGCATAATAAATGCATAATTTGAGATTGATTCTCAAGGCTGACATTCTATCATCTGTTGTTGAGTTTTCAAATTGTTGATTTTGCAGCAACCGTATGCTAATGGCAAGACAGACATTGACTTGCGATCAGGTATTATTTAGTGATCATCTCCTGCTTTGCTCATTAATTTTTTCTAAAACTTTGAAGATCCATGTCGTATAATGGAATTTTCTGTGCAGCGAGATCTTCATCTCCACCTGCATCTGTGGAACCCTCTGTTGCACCTCACCCAAAGTCATATATGGAGGTAGCTCTGCTCTCAATTGCTCATAATGTCTTTGAATGTAATAATGCCTGATGTGTTCATGGGTGCATTCTTTGATGTCATGTCCCTTGGTTCATTTTAATGGTAAATGGCATGCAAATCTGTAATCTACGTGGAGATTAATGCAGTTAGACCTTCAAAACTTTTTCAACAATCTTCCAAAAGTATGTAATATCTTCTAGTTAATCCCTTGTTGGTGATCTATAGATGCACAAACCCTGCCTTCACATTTACAAATTCCCCTTCTGCCTCAATCTAAAAATTCCTTTGTTCCTCTGAAGTCATAACTTTTTTTAAGTCTATATATGTTTATGTGGCCGGTTGAACTTGTGATGACTGGCCCACCCCAACCAAAAAGAGAAAAATAAAGAGCTTCAAATGCCATACGGGATATGTAGGGCGTGCATATGATAGTTGTTGCCATTCCATCTGGAGATCGAGTTTTTGTATCTTCAACGAGTTATTTGGTTACTGAGTACAGTGTCAATTTTCTTCCTGCCTGTTTATTGTTTGTCATGTCACTATTGTGAAAGATTTACTGCTTTTAGTTACTTTAGATCGGAGCATGAAATATCATGGCATTCTGATATTTGAATCATGTTGCAGATCATGGCTATGATTAAAAGAGGAGAGAGACCTCCTAACATTAGAGTAAATCCTGTCCTTGCAATATCTATGTTGAGTTCGACTTTATTGGGTTTAGTTTTGATCTTTCCTTGTTCCTTTCTTTTCCTGTTGCTTTTTCTTCCAGGAGATCAATGATCGTCCACCCAATCCTAATCAGCCAGTGTCCAATCCTCGCATGACACCCAGACCTAAGGTTTGCTATGTTTGAGTTACCTTCCATCTTGATTTTCCAATTTTTGTGGGACGGATTAATGAGGACTGTTTGAAGTTGGAGCGATATGAAAAAAGTAGAATTTCAAATTTGGACCAGGCGTCTTTGTTGTATATGAACATATGGATATAGGAAAGTCTTAAAGGAGCNAATACTCATACATGACGGTTAATTTGAGATAATGCAATGATTACGTATCATATAATGTCACAAATATTAGTTTCATACAATGTCATCATAAAAATTAGTTATGAGTGAGTGTATTATTAATGATATTAGTCATAAGATTTTCAAATACTTAAGGGAATACAGGTAATTTTGGAAATATGAGGGGGGACATAGCCCCTCTTGGTCTCCATATAGTTCTATCCCTGAGCATGTTTCCTGTCTGATAATAAGGGAAGATTCCATGGACTCTAAATTTAGTTTCAAATGTACAAATCAATTATAATGACAGGCAATTGAGGTGCAGTGAACTGAATTACTGCGAATCATTACATATTTTAAACTCAACTGATGTATAATTGTAGTCATTTTGACTATTGATTGTTTCATAGGACCCTTTGATACGATTGGAATGCGCAACTTTGTTGATGCAAGTTGTATAAAAATTTTCTATACAAATGTCAAATAGTAGCATTCAGCAATCTGGTTTATCTTATTTGAGTTGTGCATGGCGTAGAAATAGACAGCTTTGGGATATTGCTTCCATTAGCTTGCATTCATATGTCTGATGAAGCTGATTGCTCTTATTGTTCTCCTGAATAGCCTTGGGAGGTCAGTCTGGGGCAGAACACCTCAAGCCATATGCTTCAGTCTCAAGAGAGCAGTGATGGATTGGATTCCAATATTCAAGACAATGGACTCAGCAATCAGTTGAATGGAGACAGTTCAGTTCCTTGGTTGCAACGAAAAAATGTTAGAATCACAGAAATTGAAACTGAAGGCGGGTTTTCCGGTTTGTTAACCAATTCGCGACCAACTCAGCGCTCATGGGTTCCTCCTCAGCCACCTCCTGTTGCAATGCCAGAAGCAGCTGCAGCCATTCGACAGCCTAAAAAACCATCAGTTCAAAAAGAGCAATTGACGGATGATCATGTAGAGGCTCATTCTTTAGATATAACTGATGACTTGCACAGAATCACAAAAATATCCGAGTCAGGAGGTGTAGAAGAGGCTAATGGTGGGAATTCTGAGCTGAATAGAACTGAGATACAAGAAGACAACTCTTACTTTGAGACCTAAAGAGTTTACNTGTTGGTTGCTTGTCGGATACACCTTGGATACGCGTACCTTCAAGGTGGATACATTCTCCTTATAATTAGTGAGGTAGGTTGTATAAAAATCATGAATCAAACAAATGAGAATTCTTTGTTCCAAGATGTTCATTTGGACATGCATCACATATGTCACATGATTTGTCAATTCTTTATAATTTGATATGTCAAAGCCAATAAATCTATTACAATTAAATGTTAAGTAAAAGTTGAGGACTTTCGAAAGGTGAAACATGTTCAGCTTTAAAATTACATAGAACATTGTATTCGAAACATCATTAAGTAGTCCCTATGTCAACAACATAAATTGTTTTAGTTTTTAGGCATTTTGTCTCTTANGAACATTGTATTCGAAACATCATTAAGTAGTCCCTATGTCAACAACATAAATTGTTTAGTTTTTAGGCATTTTGTCTCTTAATCCCTTATNCTGGCTTAATGTAAAGCTCTTGCAATTTCAATTGATGTTGGGTAAAGAATGTTTAAATTATATATATGTATCTCTTTTTATGTGTTCATTAAAAAAAGAAAGAGGATAGGTCTTAGTACGGCGATAAGGATGTTTTATTGTGACTTAAACATCAAGGGTTTGAACCGTAGAAAAAATTTATCTGTTTGCAAATTGTGTACATTGCCTTTCCTCNTAATCCCTAATATTGTAATAACTTCCTATAATATAAATAGACGTAGCTTAGCCATATACCTATCTTATTTTTTAAGATTTTGTCATATCGTCATATCCGTTTAGTGTCATACCTGTATCCGTATCCGTACTTTCTAGGGTACCATCTTAGGTGTCTAGAGGCTCTAACTATGCCTTGGTAGTACCGCCATTGATATTCTGACATTACCAAAAGTAAATCCAATCCACCATTTGCTTCTTTTTGGCTTGAAATGAGCATAAAAAAAGGGACGCATTCTTGTCTATCCGCAATTAAAGTTCTTATATGAATGTATCTGCCAGAAATTTATTGACATCACTGGGCTTCCAATCTATTTATGTGAGTTTTTTGTGGGTGTTTTACATGAACTTGGCAAAGCTGTTTGTTTGTAAGAATTTTTTTGCTAATGTCATTTATTGTGTGATTATCAGGACAAAGTAATACACCTGGAAGAATATCTCTTGTTGAACAAGAAGATCATAAAGTCTCAGTCACCAGTTCAAGGGTGAGCATAATAAATGCATAATTTGAGATTGATTCTCAAGGCTGACATTCTATCATCTGTTGTTGAGTTTTCAAATTGTTGATTTTGCAGCAACCGTATGCTAATGGCAAGACAGACATTGACTTGCGATCAGGTATTATTTAGTGATCATCTCCTGCTTTGCTCATTAATTTTTTCTAAAACTTTGAAGATCCATGTCGTATAATGGAATTTTCTGTGCAGCGAGATCTTCATCTCCACCTGCATCTGTGGAACCCTCTGTTGCACCTCACCCAAAGTCATATATGGAGGTAGCTCTGCTCTCAATTGCTCATAATGTCTTTGAATGTAATAATGCCTGATGTGTTCATGGGTGCATTCTTTGATGTCATGTCCCTTGGTTCATTTTAATGGTAAATGGCATGCAAATCTGTAATCTACGTGGAGATTAATGCAGTTAGACCTTCAAAACTTTTTCAACAATCTTCCAAAAGTATGTAATATCTTCTAGTTAATCCCTTGTTGGTGATCTATAGATGCACAAACCCTGCCTTCACATTTACAAATTCCCCTTCTGCCTCAATCTAAAAATTCCTTTGTTCCTCTGAAGTCATAACTTTTTTTAAGTCTATATATGTTTATGTGGCCGGTTGAACTTGTGATGACTGGCCCACCCCAACCAAAAAGAGAAAAATAAAGAGCTTCAAATGCCATACGGGATATGTAGGGCGTGCATATGATAGTTGTTGCCATTCCATCTGGAGATCGAGTTTTTGTATCTTCAACGAGTTATTTGGTTACTGAGTACAGTGTCAATTTTCTTCCTGCCTGTTTATTGTTTGTCATGTCACTATTGTGAAAGATTTACTGCTTTTAGTTACTTTAGATCGGAGCATGAAATATCATGGCATTCTGATATTTGAATCATGTTGCAGATCATGGCTATGATTAAAAGAGGAGAGAGACCTCCTAACATTAGAGTAAATCCTGTCCTTGCAATATCTATGTTGAGTTCGACTTTATTGGGTTTAGTTTTGATCTTTCCTTGTTCCTTTCTTTTCCTGTTGCTTTTTCTTCCAGGAGATCAATGATCGTCCACCCAATCCTAATCAGCCAGTGTCCAATCCTCGCATGACACCCAGACCTAAGGTTTGCTATGTTTGAGTTACCTTCCATCTTGATTTTCCAATTTTTGTGGGACGGATTAATGAGGACTGTTTGAAGTTGGAGCGACATGAAAAAAGTAGAATTTCAAATTTGGACCAGGCATCTTTGTTGTATATGAACATATGGATATAGGAAAGTCTTAAAGGAGCATGTGCAGGAACGGAACAAGAATTTTGTCCCGAGGGGGCCCAATAAGATCCAATCAAAACAAGTGCAGTGTTCAAAATTATATTAAATGGGATTACTCTACAAGTTACTATCAATGCCACAGTTTAATTGTATACATATCAAGAACAATTTTATTTGGTAAGTTTAGGTCATAGAATTCAAAAATTAATTCGTACTTATAAAATTAGTTATGAGTGATTAATGCAATGATTACGTATCATATAATGTCACAAATATTAGTTTCACACAATATCATCATAAAAATTAGTTATGAGTGAGTGTATTATTAATGATAATAGTCATAAGATTTTCAAATACTTAAGGGAGTACAGGTAATTTTGGAAATATGAGGGGGGACATGGCCCCTCTTGGTCTCCATATAGTTCCATCCCTGAGGATGTTTCCTGTCTGATCATGAGTGAAGATTCCATGGACTCTAAATTTAGTTTCAAATGTACAAATCAATTATAATGACAGGCAATTGAGGTGCAGTGAACTGAATTACTGTGAATCATTACATATTTTAAACTCAACTGATGTATAATTGTAGTCATTTTGACTATTGATTGTTTCATAGGACCCTTTGATACGATTGGAATGCCCAACTTTGTTGATGCAAGTTGTATAAAAATTTTCTATACAAATGTCAAATAGTAGCATTCAGCAATCTGGTTTATCTTATTTGAGTTGTGCATGGCGTAGAAATAGACAGCTTTGGGATATTGCTTCCATTAGCTTGCATTCATATGTCTGATGAAGCTGATTGCTCTTATTGTTCTCCTGAATAGCCTTGGGAGGTCAGTCTGGGGCAGAACACCTCAAGCCATATGCTTCAGTCTCAAGAGAGCAGTGATGGATTGGATTCCAATATTCAAGACAATGGACTCAGCAATCAGTTGAATGGAGACAGTTCAGTTCCTTGGTTGCAACGAAAAAATGTTAGAATCACAGAAATTGAAACTGAAGGCGGGTTTTCCGGTTTGTTAACCAATTCGCGACCAATTCAGCGCTCATGGGTTCCTCCTCAGCCACCTCCTGTTGCAATGCCAGAAGCAGCTGCAGCCATTCGACAGCCTAAAAAACCATCAGTTCAAAAAGAGCAATTGACGGATGATCATGTAGAGGCTCATTCTTTAGATATAACTGATGACTTGCACAGAATCACAAAAATATCCGAGTCAGGAGGTGTAGAAGAGGCTAATGGTGGGAATTCTGAGCTGAATAGAACTGAGATACAAGAAGACAACTCTTACTTTGAGACCTAAAGAGTTTAACGAAGGGGGATCTTTTCGGCTTTGATCTAAGGTACTTATTTGTATCATTGAAAGTTGATAATAACAATCCAAGAACATGTTTGCTGCATTTATCAATTCATCTGCTCTCATACTTTGTTCTGTACTTTACCTTAATATTTAAAGGGTACATGTAGACTTATTTGCCAGGGAAACTTGATGAAATAGACAATGAAGATGAATTTTGACTACTATGGATTGTTCGGACAGATGGGTTTATGCTGCATTATGTGACAGCTTTTTATGTATTCGTATGTATAAATATTATTAGGTCTCTTTAACAAAATCTTTGATCTTTATGTCTATGACCTGCACTCCATGTTCCTGGCTTAATGTAAAGCTCTTGCAATTTCAATTGATGTTGGGTAAAGAATGTTTAAATTATATATATGTATCTCTTTTTATGTGTTCATTAAAAAAAGAAAGAGGATAGGTCTTAGTACGGCGATAAGGATGTTTTATTGTGACTTAAACATCAAGGGTTTGAACCGTAGAAAAAATTTATCTGTTTGCAAATTGTGTACATTGCCTTTCCTCAGACCTCGCAATAGGAGTCTCTTACACCGGACCGTTATTTTTTATAAAATTGCTATCGGTTTGATTAAGGAATAAATGCAATATCATCATTTTTTTTTCTTTTTTTTGGCGATAGGGAAAAGAACTGCTTCTTGGCTTATTCTTTTCTGTTTGCGTTTTCTGCTGGTAGCCAAATGTGGTTTCACGATGTACCAGTTTCAACGGGTAGTAATTTCACGTGATGTGTCTTTGATTGCACGCGTTTATCACGTGGATTAGACGTCCCAAACACGCAGCTTCCTGCATTGATTAGGAGATTATTATATTGACTAACGAGTGACGGCCCCACAAGTTAGATAAAAAATTAGGGTGATAATATAATAATAAAAAAATTAGGGCGGTAAAATTATATTTTTTTAAAAAAATTCAAATTAGTGACTCATTTTTTCAAATGCGTCGCAGTTAAGTAATGGGGTAGAAGGGTAGTTATATGAGATGTGTTAGGATATANGTTGAGTTTTCAAATTGTTGATTTTGCAGCAACCGTATGCTAATGGCAAGACAGACATTGACTTGCGATCAGGTATTATTTAGTGATCATCTCCTGCTTTGCTCATTAATTTTTTCTAAAACTTTGAAGATCCATGTCGTATAATGGAATTTTCTGTGCAGCGAGATCTTCATCTCCACCTGCATCTGTGGAACCCTCTGTTGCACCTCACCCAAAGTCATATATGGAGGTAGCTCTGCTCTCAATTGCTCATAATGTCTTTGAATGTAATAATGCCTGATGTGTTCATGGGTGCATTCTTTGANTTTACCTCTTCCTTCTTTATTTTATCACTTGAAAAGTTAAAAAAATAATTGTAGAAATTTTTTGGGTGGTAAAAAATAATTTTTTTGAATAAATATGAAAAAATAGTAGTTAGTTATAAAAGAAATGAGAGTTAGTTATAAATGACACATGACAACGTTTAATTGGAAGAAGCCATAGATTTTGAATTAAGAAATTCANGTTGTCATGTCCCTTGGTTCATTTTAATGGTAAATGGCATGCAAATCTGTAATCTACGTGGAGATTAATGCAGTTAGACCTTCAAAACTTTTTCAACAATCTTCCAAAAGTATGTAATATCTTCTAGTTAATCCCTTGTTGGTGATCTATAGATGCACAAACCCTGCCTTCACATTTACAAATTCCCCTTCTGCCTCAATCTAAAAATTCCTTTGTTCCTCTGAAGTCATAACTTTTTTTAAGTCTATATATGTTTATGTGGCCGGTTGAACTTGTGATGACTGGCCCACCCCAACCAAAAAGAGAAAAATAAAGAGCTTCAAATGCCATACGGGATATGTAGGGCGTGCATATGATAGTTGTTGCCATTCCATCTGGAGATCGAGTTTTTGTATCTTCAACGAGTTATTTGGTTACTGAGTACAGTGTCAATTTTCTTCCTGCCTGTTTATTGTTTGTCATGTCACTATTGTGAAAGATTTACTGCTTTTAGTTACTTTAGATCGGAGCATGAAATATCATGGCATTCTGATATTTGAATCATGTTGCAGATCATGGCTATGATTAAAAGAGGAGAGAGACCTCCTAACATTAGAGTAAATCCTGTCCTTGCAATATCTATGTTGAGTTCGACTTTATTGGGTTTAGTTTTGATCTTTCCTTGTTCCTTTCTTTTCCTGTTGCTTTTTCTTCCAGGAGATCAATGATCGTCCACCCAATCCTAATCAGCCAGTGTCCAATCCTCGCATGACACCCAGACCTAAGGTTTGCTATGTTTGAGTTACCTTCCATCTTGATTTTCCAATTTTTGTGGGACGGATTAATGAGGACTGTTTGAAGTTGGAGCGACATGAAAAAAGTAGAATTTCAAATTTGGACCAGGCATCTTTGTTGTATATGAACATATGGATATAGGAAAGTCTTAAAGGAGCATGTGCAGGAACGGAACAAGAATTTTGTCCCGAGGGGGCCCAATAAGATCCAATCAAAACAAGTGCAGTGTTCAAAATTATATTAAATGGGATTACTCTACAAGTTACTATCAATGCCACAGTTTAATTGTATACATATCAAGAACAATTTTATTTGGTAAGTTTAGGTCATAGAATTCAAAAATTAATTCGTACTTATAAAATTAGTTATGAGTGATTAATGCAATGATTACGTATCATATAATGTCACAAATATTAGTTTCACACAATATCATCATAAAAATTAGTTATGAGTGAGTGTATTATTAATGATAATAGTCATAAGATTTTCAAATACTTAAGGGAGTACAGGTAATTTTGGAAATATGAGGGGGGACATGGCCCCTCTTGGTCTCCATATAGTTCCATCCCTGAGGATGTTTCCTGTCTGATCATGAGTGAAGATTCCATGGACTCTAAATTTAGTTTCAAATGTACAAATCAATTATAATGACAGGCAATTGAGGTGCAGTGAACTGAATTACTGTGAATCATTACATATTTTAAACTCAACTGATGTATAATTGTAGTCATTTTGACTATTGATTGTTTCATAGGACCCTTTGATACGATTGGAATGCCCAACTTTGTTGATGCAAGTTGTATAAAAATTTTCTATACAAATGTCAAATAGTAGCATTCAGCAATCTGGTTTATCTTATTTGAGTTGTGCATGGCGTAGAAATAGACAGCTTTGGGATATTGCTTCCATTAGCTTGCATTCATATGTCTGATGAAGCTGATTGCTCTTATTGTTCTCCTGAATAGCCTTGGGAGGTCAGTCTGGGGCAGAACACCTCAAGCCATATGCTTCAGTCTCAAGAGAGCAGTGATGGATTGGATTCCAATATTCAAGACAATGGACTCAGCAATCAGTTGAATGGAGACAGTTCAGTTCCTTGGTTGCAACGAAAAAATGTTAGAATCACAGAAATTGAAACTGAAGGCGGGTTTTCCGGTTTGTTAACCAATTCGCGACCAACTCAGCGCTCATGGGTTCCTCCTCAGCCACCTCCTGTTGCAATGCCAGAAGCAGCTGCAGCCATTCGACAGCCTAAAAAACCATCAGTTCAAAAAGAGCAATTGACGGATGATCATGTAGGGGCTCATTCTTTAGATATAACTGATGACTTGCACAGAATCACAAAAATATCCGAGTCAGGAGGTGTAGAAGAGGCTAATGGTGGGAGTTCTGAGCTGAATAGAACTGAGATACAAGAAGACAACTCTTACTTTGAGACCTAAAGAGTTTAACGAAGGGGGATCTTTTCGGCTTTGATCTAAGGTACTTATTTGTATCATTGAAAGTTGATAATAACAATCCAAGAACATGTTTGCTGCATTTATCAATTCATCTGCTCTCATACTTTGTTCTGTACTTTACCTTAATATTTAAAGGGTACATGTAGACTTATTTGCCAGGGAAACTTGATGAAATAGACAATGAAGATGAATTTTGACTACTATGGATTGTTCGGACAGATGGGTTTATGCTGCATTATGTGACAGCTTTTTATGTATTCGTATGTATAAATATTATTAGGTCTCTTTAACAAAATCTTTGATCTTTATGTCTATGACCTGCACTCCATGTTCCTGGCTTAATGTAAAGCTCTTGCAATTTCAATTGATGTTGGGTAAAGAATGTTTAANAAAATTCGAAGAATTTAGGAAATTGGGAGGAAGACTTGTCAAACCCTCTCATCTCTAAATTGTGTAACAACTACTATTTAACTTAATTTTATGTTTTCTTAGAGTGGATTAGTTGTCATCCCTTTTTATATGAGTTAATTTACTTATTTTTTTCCTATAAATAATATCGAGTTTTTATTAAATCTACATTTACAAACATATAGATATTCAATTTTTGTTTACGTAATAGTATTTATTTATATTGCAATTCTAAAGTCACAAAGCACTAAATTTTTTGTCGTGAAACTTTTGTGCATCGAGAATACATAGGGTCCAAAACCCTCTGTTGCATCTAATATTGATAATTTAAAAAATTATTAGTAATTATATTTTTCATAAACTTTTCAAATAGGCAATATATAATTTAAAATATAAGAAATTGAGGTATGTATAAATAGAAAACGAATAATCTTATTATAAAGTAATAAGTGAATTCAAAAAATGAGTACACTTCAAAAATTAATTAGCTCCGCCGAAAATATAATATAATATTTAAAAAAAATAAATTGAATTTTTTTTTCCAATACGATAATAAACCGTTTATTTGGGATAAGATTATTGGATCAAGATTATCAAATTGTTGATCCGAGTTCTATTAGTGGGTGGGCATGTAGGAGTGGACACTTTTGGCCGACCACTTTCTCTTTCAAGGAGAGACGTACACGTGAATCTTTCCATTTGGTTTCTTATTTAATTTGATAAGGCATGTTGCTAAAAGAAAATCTTTTTAACATGTTTGCGTAGGTCTGGCTTTTGGTGATTGCTTATATATGAACCTAATTTATTTTAGTCTCGTGGGTAGTTTAAATAGTAATAAAAATGAATTGTAATATAGATGTCTTGAGTTTGAATTTTGATAACTCTAACTAGGTCATAATACTGTAGTCTTGACATGAATAATTTGTCTTTGACTAAATCAAAAAAACGATTAATTGAGNTCTAAATTTAGTTTCAAATGTACAAATCAATTATAATGACAGGCAATTGAGGTGCAGTGAACTGAATTACTGCGAATCATTACATATTTTAAACTCAACTGATGTATAATTGTAGTCATTTTGACTATTGATTGTTTCATAGGACCCTTTGATACGATTGGAATGCGCAACTTTGTTGATGCAAGTTGTATAAAAATTTTCTATACAAATGTCAAATAGTAGCATTCANGTTGCGGAGGTTAAAGGGAATTACTAGGATATCTAGTTAGAACTTCTAGACTTGGGGCAGTTGAACTTATCAATTCAGAGAGATAACAACAAATGAAGATCAATAGGCAGAGAATTTATAATGATTCACTATTTCGGAAGTTTGGCTAGACCACTCTAATGAAGTCTCTTACTACTAGAGAAGTTTTCTATTAATCAGGGGGAAAGGATTACAGAATTACACAGGATAATAGCACATATGCTTGCTTAATTGCAAATGTGAGGGATTTGATCTCTATTTATAGTTTACCTACCTTGTGTGATCTCTATGATTCTCCCATAACCAATGCGATCCTTGCATAATCAACATGATCTCTTTAGGGCTGTTGCGATCCATGTGCTAGAATATTTGGCTTTTAAGATCGAGTTATATTCTCTAGGTGTGACATGACTTTCTAGAAGGTATGAGTTGTCGCTATCTCCGTGTGCATGAGGTCATGTTGATGATTATTCCCGACTTGCACACCCCAATCTGATGATCATGAGCTAAAAGGTCCGAATTAAGAAATTCTAGCTCAACCATAACTAATTTTTATAATCATCACCTGTGATCATATATTCTAGAAAGTGATGAACCCGAAATTAACTGGGCCAAGTCCAATTTAAATAAACCAAGAAAGCCCAAAGAAGAGCCCAACTAAATCTGGGTCGACCCATCAGGAGGAAAACTAAAAGGACATCAAGAGGCCAACGCCCAAGAGGCCAACATCAAAGAGGCGGACGTCCAAGAAGTACAAGAGGCCAACGTCTAGAGGCCAATACCCAAAGCACCAAGAGCCAACGCCCAAGCACTTGGGGCGTTGCCCTTGGCCCCTTCAACTGTCCAAGCACTGCTCATTGCTCCTCACTTTGCCACTCTAATGCAAGTCCAAGATCATTCCGAGTCCAAGCCCAAAGTCAAGTACGAGCTCAGTCCAGTTCAAGACCCTGCTCCGAAGAAATAGGAGCACAAGGGAAAAACATCGGGATAGGCACGGAGATCTCCTACCATAGCTGTACTTACTAAAACAGTAGAAGTCTTCCTCTTCATGTCACCACCTCATTGCTTCATCACACCTGTATAATGTAAGTCCTCTCCATATAGAGAGTAGACTCTCATATCTCTACACACACTACACCTTCCTACACGCATTGCTCTCTCTCTCTCAAGCATTGTAATACTCCTGAAGAATACTCACTCTGGTGACTTCACTCATTAATAAAAGATCCAGGTTATCGTTGCCATTTCCGAAAGTAGAGTAGGTCATCCGGACCGAACCACTATAAACATCTGTGTTTTCTCCTTATTTACTGCTTTAATTATTTATTGCTATCGATTGCCTGTTATTGCTCACTAATTGCACCCCGTTCGTATACTTGACTGTTGATCTTATGCGAAGATAATTTTGTGCACCATCAATTTGACGCCGTCTGTGGGAAACGACTAATTTTTCTACTCTTTTGATCCATGATAATCACTATTAGATCAATGAGTCAACAGTCGGGAGACAACAACCCGACCCCCCGGGAGGAGGCTCCGCCTCCCCTCGCACCATCTGCTACGACGACCCCCGTCGTCGGACAATAGCTTCTACAGACTATGCAACTGCTGGTAAAACAGAACCAGCAGATCATCCAATTAATGCTTACCCAAGGAGGTGTCGCCCCTCACCCTGTAGGAGGAGTCCCACTCCCTCCACTAGGAGAGGAACAATTGTCTATCCCTCTTGAGCGCCATACAGCCCCCTACCACGGGGGCCCTCGCCAAACCACTCCAGGACCACGTCAGGGCGTTCATCATCTAGCCCCACCTCAATACGTAGGGAGTTCTCGAGTGCCCTCTCCTCATGAACCTGGGCAAGAGGACGAAGACCGGGAAAGTCAATACGGAGACCATGAAAGTCGGTACCACCACCAGACTGAGGGTGTCCCCAACCAATGGGACGAGAAGATTAAAAAGGTGCAAAACCAGCTTGGTGATGCTCTTAATGCCATCAAAGCACAGACGCCTCAGACTGTGGATTATTTGGTAAGACGCACCGATACCCTTTTTATTACTGATATTGTTAACTATCCCTTACCCTTGAAGTTCAAGATGCCCTCCATCGAGATCTTCGATGGCACTAAAGACCCCCTAGACCACCTGGACACCTATAAATCCCTCATGCAACTCCACAATGTGCTTAAGGAGATAATGTGCAGAGCTTTCCCTACTACCTTGAAGGGGTTTACCCGCCAGTGGTTCTCCAAGCTTAGACCCTCCTCCATTCGTTCCTTTGCAGAGCTCAGTAGGTCCTTCGTCTCCCACTTCATTGGGAGACGTCGACATCAGAAACCAGTGACCCACCTGCTCACTATCAAACAGGATAGGGATGAAAGCCTTAGAGACTACCTTGTCTGCTTCAATGAAGAGATCCTCTAGGTTGAGGAGCCAGATGATAAGGTAGCTCTGGCCGCCTTTATCGCCGGCCTCCGCACCTCCAACTTCATGTTCTCAGTCCTCAAGAAGTCGTCCTCCAATATATCCGAGCTGCTGTCAAGAGCACAAAAGTATATGAACGCCGAGGATGTCACCAAGGCCAAACAAGGTGAGTCCTCCCATGGGGGCGAAAAGAGGAAGGATACCCGCGAAGACAGGAGAGAAGTAGAGAATAATAGGAATAGGACAGAGAAAATCTCCGCCAAGGACTGCCTTGATCCCCCACCTCTGAGAGAACGACAGACATTCACGCCACGCAATGCTTCCGCAGAGCATATCCTGTTCCAAATACAGGATGATCCCACGCTCTATTGGCCCGGAAAAATGAAGTCCGCCCCAAACCGCAGAAATCCCAACAGGTATTGTCGTTTCCACCACGACCACAACCATTATACGGACGACTGCTTTGATCTTAAAAGGCAGATCGAGGAACTCATACAACATGGTCATTTGAGGCAGTACTTTGCTAGCAGAGGACAAACCCCGCCACCTGATCAAGACCAGGATGACAGAGAACACCAGCAACCCCTCGGAGAAATCCAAATGATCTCCCGAGGGCCAGGAGAAGTAGTTGACTCAAACTCCGCTAAGAAAGCTACGACCCACCTATGGATGCCAAACCCCAGAATATTTTATCTATCATTTATTGTTTTAATTATTTATTTTGTTATTTATTATTTTATGAAATAAAATTTTGCGAAGATCATTGTGTCCAGAATTGTCTTGTTCTCCTAAAAATTGACAAACAGCTTACAGAGCATGACCTAAAAATAAGATGTAGACAAAAGAACAATAGTCGTCAATCGTCATACTTCTGATGATCAGTCGCTGCTCCTTGAGCCACAACCACTATAATCAAGGCTCTTCCTGTCACCAACTACTGGTGGTGC